AGACAACAAAGAAAAAGAAGAAAAGAAAAAGAAGAGAAGGAGGAAGGAGAAGATTTCTCTCTCTCTCTCTCTCTAAAAAAAAAAAAAAAAAGTGTAAACTTCCTGATCAGTGTATATTGGACATCTCAAAGAAAGCAGACTTGATTTTCTCTTTAGCTTTTGTGTTTATGACACTTTGTATTGGTTATAATTACTGCTAAGAAAAGATTACTCTGCTAGCTTATCATTGTTAAGACTTGAGAAAGAAACTGTGGTTCATGTATATGGGAATCAGTTGGAAGAATTGTTGAAACACATGATAACCTCGGTTTCTGATTTAGTAGGGCTGGGTTGGGACCTAATAATTTTCATTTTTAACAAACTTCCAGCTGATATTGAAGCTGCTGGTCCTGAGACCACACTAAAAACCACTGGTCTAGGGCAATATGATTATTGTACCAACATCAACAGAAAAGAAAACAGAAGGCTCTAGTAACCCTCTTTGACTTTATTTTTTGCCTGTCCCTGTGCTTAAACTCACCTCCCCTGTAGCCCTTTTTGCTTTCGTCCTCACCCCCTTTTTTGTACCTGAACTACATTAAATATTCTGACTTAAAACAATCAAGTTTCTAATCATACTTCTTATTAATATACCGTCTCCTTTTCAAAGCAGATTCTCATCTCTGTTTCAGATTTCTGGCTCTGGTAACGTTATCTTAATTTTTATGTTTTCCTTTGCTTGATAGATTGCTACTGATATTCTTTGTCATGGCCTATAACCTCTTTCATAGTTTGGCAGCAGGACCATACTTTTGATTGTTTCCTGAAGAAATGAGAGCTAAAGTTCAGTTGTACTGTTTACTCTTAAGTGTCTAGAACATGCAACAATAGTGCTTCTATTGCAAACTCTTGAAGATTCTCCTTTTCATTTTGTCTGATGCGAGTGGACTCTATTCCTTAGAGCCAGCCATCATCTTAACCATCCCCTAAACTCCCAAGATGCTTTCCACAGCAGGTAATAGAGCTGTTGTCTGTGGGTAGGAGATAATACTACCCTAACCATGAAGAATGCATAACACAGTGTTGTTACTTTTGTGTAAATAAGTTTGGAAAATAGTCTCTTTTTGTCTTTTTACTATGGTTTGATCTATAAAATCTTTTCGTTTTAATATTCCTGAGACTATCCTTTATTCTGACCTGTGGGATAATTATTTTATGTTAGTAAAATTTGTTTTGAGAGAATCAGTTTTGATAAGAGAAACAGTGAACTTGACATTGGACACTACATTGAAATTTAACTGGAAACTATTTAGATTTTAATAAAAAAGGGAGTAAATACCTATAGCTTGACTTCCAGCAACAGAACACCCCCATGAAGAGGTCTAAACAATTAGAAATAATCATCTCATAGAACAAGTCCAGAGGAAAGGAGAAAAGAAAGACAGGTCCAGGGTTGGTTCGTTTGGTGGCTTAGTGATATTATCAAGGACCCTGACATTTTTTATCTTTATATTCTGCCATTCTCAGGATCTTCTCTTATGATTATACTCTGGCTATATCCAATGCAGGCTTAATAGAATCTCTTGAAGAAAAGGAATGCTTCTTCCTGTTCTTCCTGTAAATTTCTTTTATGTTACTAAGATAGCACTTTCATGAAAGCCCTCTAAGAATTTTCTCCTCAAACCCTATTGATCAGGCTTGGGGGTCACTTGCCTTTCTGGCATAGTGAATGAACCTATTATGGTTGGTTTCAACCAGTCAAAAATTACTCCTGGGGTAGGAGAGACCCAGCCTCTTAAGTAGTTGGCTGTCTGATGGCTACACAAAATGTAGTATACATTAATGAGGGAAGATGAGAGTGATAATATGGAGTAATGGCTGGTATCAGACCACAGTGTGGGACAGTTTGACTACATTTTAACATAAACTAATTCTTAGTTTCTGCTACAGAATTTTCATACTTGTATTTAAGAATATTGCTTAATTTAGATCTAGAGATTAGTGTCTTAGAAAACTGCAGGCTATTTGAAAATTGTCTTTGTGGTGAGAAAATTTTGAAGGCTCTCTGGATTTTGTTTGTATCATATCTAAGAATTTGGGGAAAATGCATGCCAGAGCATTATTGTGATGGTTTTGAAGTACATTGCATTATTCCTCCCTTAGTACTTTTAATTTTCCCTACAAAGATTATTATTAGAAGAATAATTTTATGTCCTTTGAGCAAAATTGCACATAAGATTGGCAAGTTTTATAGATGTCAATATTCTGGTTGTGATATTGTACTATGTAGTTTTGCAAGATGTTACTCGTGGGAAAAATTGGGTCAAGAGTATATGGCATCTTTCTGTTTTTTTTTTTTTTTTAACAACTGTGTGTGAATCTGCAATTATCCCAAAATAAATTGTTTAATTTTGAAAATGCATCTAAATATCAAAGGGATTAAAATAATGAAGCTACTTTACTTTAGAGCAGATCCAAAATCCCATAGTCATACATGGATGAAGAAATAGAAGGAAAAAAGGAGGAGACATTCTGCTAATTTAGAAAGTAATTATTAGAGATAGAAGCAGAACACTTATTACCACTCTTCCTGTTTACCAGGAATATATAAGTAAAAAAGTAAATTAAACCTACATTTACAAAATTACATCCTATCAGTTTTTATTGCTTTGGGCTAAAGTTGATATTGCTGTGGTTTATAGTTATTAGATCAATATATGAACAAAAGCTCCAAGGGCAGATATTGCATTATTCATCTTTTTAATACCTCCACAAAGTGCTTAGCACCATGTTTCTATTGCACATAGTAAACAGAACTCTTTTTTAGTAACATTTAATAAATGCTATAATATAATGTTAACATATAATAAATGAATGAAGAGTATTAAATGCCTTTTTTTTTTTTTTTTTGGTGGTGGTGGTGGTGCTAGGGAATTGAACCCAGGGCCTTGTGCATGTGAGCTATATCCCCAGCCTAAATGCTGTTTTAACAAAATAATATTTTTTAAGCTCTTTCAATTTAAGAGTCACCTTTAAGAACATATTTTTATTATTAATCCTAGCTTAATGATTTCAGTGGTATATTCTCAGATATTGTATGATTCCAGAAGCCAGAAACTTATATTGTTTATTTCCAGATATCTTTTGTATACGTGTGTGTGGTATTGGGGATCAAGTCCAGAACAGATAGCATGCTAGCCAAGTGGTCTACTGCAGAGCTACATCTCCAGTCCTGATGATGATTATTATTTTTAATAGCCAACACAAACAATTACTGAGATATATTTCTAGATAAAATTTTGTTTATTTTTGGTGGGACTTATTTTCTAAAATGAGAAAGAGTTAAAAGATAAGAATAAAATATTTTATTAAGTGATAAATTGTAAACTAATTTTACCTGATGAACTAGAACAGTCAAAAATAAGTGTTTTCAGTTGAGTTGATATTATTCCATGTGGTATTTGATTTTGAACAGGTATGTTACCTGACTGCTTGACTGATGGTTCTGATGTGGTCAGTGACCTTGAACAGGAAGAGATGAAAATCCTGAGGGAAGTTCTTAGGTATACTTCTTTATAATTATTTTGGAATGAATCATTAGTAATATTAGTAAGATAATAACAGTAATAATTATATGTATGTGCTTTTATCCAGAAAATATTATAAACTAGTAAAATATCTAAATTTTCTACTAAAGGCCTTCAAATTTATCATTTTATAACTATGTGAGTTATCCCACATCCAAAATGTTTAGGATCAAAAGTGTTTCAGGTGTCAGGTGTTTTCAGATTTTGGAATATTTGCATAAGCCTTACTGAGAGCATTCCTAATCTGAAAATCTAAAATTTTTTGAGCATTGTGGTGTTGTACAAAAAATTCTGAATTTTCATATTAGGAATGCTCAACTTGTATTATATTTATTTTTCTCTTAGCCAGGAATTCTAGCACTAGGAAAGCCTTCTACCTCTGAATCACATTCCCGGCCCCTTACATTTCTTAATTAATAGGAAGAATTATTTTCTGGTGACTCATGCCACATTAGCCCAACTGAGTCTATTTTTTTTCCCTTTACTCTCACCATATAATTAATCACTAATGGAAAAAAAAGTTGCAGTATACCCAGCCTGAACCCTGGTGAGGTGGGGAGTTAAGCTGAATTCTTCATGGCTTCTAGATCTTAGAATTAGCAGTAGTTAAGTTGTCACATGGTAGGAGACTTGTCTTCCAGACTCCACAGATGCATAGCTGACAGGGTGACTGGACAACATCGGGAGGTGTTTATTCCAGATTAGTATTTTGCAGATCTCTTCTTCTTTGTAGTACATGATTTTTCATCCAAATGCCTTATGTGGGGTAGACATGCAACCCACGAAAGGGGCCTATGCAGAACTAGGAAAGCTTAGTGGGCATTTCTATGGTCTCCTGACCATTATGGAAGTTTTGGAAGGGAGGGGAAATTGTAGCATCTAATTTTTAACTGTGAGAATGTACTAAGATTAGAGGAGAAGGATACCTGCATAACTGTGGAGTGGAGTACCAGATGATCGTTGGGTTAGATGGCCTAGTGGAAACTATGACAGGTGTCCCAATTTAGTGCTTAACTTCAGTGGGTTTGAGTGGTTGTAGGGAGTAAAACAGATGTGTAGGTTGACCTGGCCCTTTCTTGCCAGATCTTAATTTCCATGGCACAGAATGCTTTGAATTTAAAGATTTGAAGATAGCAGGGTATTTGGTACATAGTAATGGTGAAGTTTTGACTTGTATTGGTTGCATTGGTTAATATGTGATCTGAAAACTGATCCATTGTGCTTTTAGACTTTATTTTCTAAAAGCTTTTGAGGTGGATATACTATGGTACAGGTTAGTTATGAACATGTACAAATGTTACCCTCAGCTGTTTTCGTAAGTCAGACTGCCTCAGTGAGTAGTTTGTAAAAATTGATAGGCTTTGGCACAGTGGCATCAGGAATGCTTTATGATAGTTCAGATGCCACTGAAAAAAACAGAATGAGGGGAGAAATGGCTCTTATGGGGGGTATAATTAATCTCTCTAAAGAAAATCAAAGTATTGATTAATGGAATTTGCTATTCAGATTTGGATTTAGGATTTCCCTTCACAATTCTTAAAGAAACGGTAACCATGTATTTTATGTTACTAAATTTTATTGTGCAGTATATTGTCTATTTCTCTTCAGTTGATTGTAAGCTTAAAGCCTGGCAGTATTATTTTCCATCTCTGTGTCCAAAATGCCTTGCTCACAGTTAGCATGTTGCTTAGTTGATCACTGTTTTTTGACCAAAAAACAAAATTTACTTTTTTTTAACCTTATATTTGTATATTTCAGAAAATCAAAAGAGGAATATGACCAGGAGGAAGAAAGGAAGAGAAAAAAAAAGGTGCCTGCAGAACATATAAATACAACAGGAGTATATTCAGTTGCTGTTATCTCTTACTAATTTTGCACATAGTTTTTGCTGTTAACATTTAAGCTTCTATGAAACTACACAGTTCCTCAAGTAGTCATATTTTCATGGCAAGTCTAAGCATTTATATTTAAAGTTTTATACTTTTTTATGCATGAAGTATATACTTTCTTTCCTACAAGAGTGTGTAACCTTATACATTCTTATATAGAAAGTATTTTTTGGGGCAGGGTGTAGCATAGTGGTGGAAAGTATATGCGTAATGTATGTGAGGCGCCCTGGGTTCAATCCCTAGTACCAAAAATAAGTAATTCTCTCTTTATAACTTTATTCACTTTATAAATCTTCAAGCAACCTATTTTTTAAACTCCATAATAAAGACCAAGATCATGAACTTCAAAAACTGTAATACATTTTATGTTTTGGGGAGTTCCTTATAAAAATCTCCCTTAATTTTCTGAATAAAAGATTAAGAAAAATATTTTACTTTTCCATTCTTGACTGCTTTAGTGTGTTGAAACAGCAGATACAGCTATTACCAAAGGTTCCTTGCAGGCTTTAATATTATCATGTAGAAGCAGAATGATTCAGTACCATATTTCTTGGCATACAGTTCTTCCATTTAAGAACCATTTCCTTAAAGTGCCTAATCTCACCTTAATCAGATAATCAATGACCACTGTTGATAAAAGGATGAGCAGAGATCATAGGCTACTTGATAGATGTCTCGCAAAGGGCACATCACTCCTGTGACATTCTTACCCAGTGGCATAAACTGAATCTAACCATAAGAACCTACTACACACCCAAACCAGGGGCAGTCTACAGAACTGCTGGTGGAAGGTCTCAGAGTATCAAGGATGACAAAAGTCACAGGAAAATTGAGGAGCTCTTCCAGCTTATAGGACACTATACATACTTAACAACTCAATGCAACTAGGGACTCTGTCTGTTGCCCCAACCCCTAGGTGGAAAGAGCGCTCAAGAAAACCAGCAAAATATGAATGGGGTGTTGGTATGAGACAGTCAAGTTTCAATGGTAACTTCCTGATTTTGGTGGCTTTATTGTGGTTATATGAAATAATGTCATTGTTTGTAGGAAATGTACATTAAATAATTTGGTCAACCATTTACCTGCCCCCAAAAAAAGTGCCTAATCTTTTCAAGGATATTTTCCTCTGATAGAGCTGTGGGAAGCTAGTATTTATTCTTTCCTGGCTGCTTCCCTTTTTATATTTTCACAGTCTACTTGAGGAGAAAAGGAAACCTAATATAAACTATCTCTCAATCACTTAAATTTTTTCTTTATTTCTTTGTCAGGCACCTACAATCCCAATGACTTGGGAGTCTAAGGCAGGAGGATTCCAAGTTCGAGACCAGCTTCAGCAATTAAGTGAGGCCCTAGGTAACATAGGGAGACCCTGTCTCAAAATAAAAAATAAATAAATAAATAAAATAGGGCTGGGGATGTAACTCAGTGATGAAGTGCTCCTGGGTTCAATCCCTAGTACCAAAAAAAAAAAAAAAAAAAATGTTTTTTTTCCAATTTTTCCTCTTTTTACCAGGGATTGAACTCAGGGTACTAGACTACTGAGCCATGTCCCCAGCCCTATTTTGTATTTTTTATTTAGAGACAGGGTCTCATGAGTTGCTTAGCACCTTGCTTTTGCTGAGGCTGGCTTTGAACTTTTGATCCTCCTGCCTCAACCTCCCAAGCTCCTGGGATTACAGGCGTTTTCCACATTTTTTCCTCTTAGTCATGATACATACTTGTATTATTTTACTGTCTTTAAAAAATCCATTTTACTCTTAAGTACCCAATGAAAAGCAGAAGAAAGAGATTTATCTTTTTGGGGGGAAGGTACTGTGGATTGAACTCGGAGGCACTCGACCACTGAACCACATCTTCAGCCCTATTTTGCATTTTTATTTAGAGATGGTGTCTCAATGAGTTGCTTAGCACCTCGAGGTTGATGAGGCTGGCTTTGAACTCATGATCCTCCTGTCTCAGTCTTCCAAGCCATTGGGATTTGAATAAATTTCTTTTTAGTAAAGGGAAGTGAAGTTCTTAGGTATTAATGAAGATTTTTAAATGTAAAGATATAGAATAACACCAGTTCAAAATAACTATTAGAAGATAGTAATTATAACCTTCTGATTTTATGCAAAACATAGTATGTTTCTTGGATAATATGTCTTAGGGGTCAATGATTTTTTTTTTGAGACTTTTTATTATGGAAGTTATCAAACACAAAAAAGTAGAGATGGTAATAATAATGAATCCCCATGTATCTATCACCCAGCATATAGAGGTTTATGATTTAGGTATACATGAATTGCCTAATAAGCTGTATACGGTTGGATTTTTCTTGATTTTTAAAGAAAAACGAATTAATATTAGTTTACTTTTTTCCTATGATTAAACAATTTCTTTGGTTTATTTTTTAATTTATTTTTAGAGAGAATTTTAATATTTATTTTTTAGTTTTCGGTGGACACAACATCTTTGTTTGTATGTGGTGCTGAGGATCGAACCCGGGCCACACGCATGCCAGGCAAGCGAACTACCACTTGAGCCACATCCCCAGCCCTCTTTGGTTTAAATATACTATTCCATTTTAGAAATAGAAGTAAACCAACTGTGGCTACTTTAAGCATTTCATAGTAGTGACATATAGACTATTTTAAACAAATAATGGAAAATCACTTTGTAATTAAATGGTTTTGTTTCTTTTACAATATTTTTTGGTGTTTTACTTCGAGTCACATGAATAGTAAGGACGAAGACTGGGTTTCCACTCAGTTCTTTCTAAGTTCAAATTCAAATCATACTAGTTATCATTAATACTGTGATTTAAATTGAAATGTTTACCTACCTCAAAAAGTAGGAGCTAATAATATGTTAAAAATTTTGGAAAATAGACTCTCTTGGATTAGTAAAAGTTAATCTAAACTGTGTGTGTGTGTGTTTTTTAATTGGATTTTGGAATTCTGAAGTTATTAGAGGCTAAAACAGAAGAGCCCCCAGTACATACTAGTGAAGCTGCAAAAATGAGCAATTCCCAAGGGGATGGTGAACATTTTGAACACCCACCCTCAGGTAAGATTGAGTTATACTGAATTTTCTCTAATACTCTGAATATGTAAACATTGTATAAAGCATATTATACTCTCATATATTTACCCTCAAAAACCTCAGAGGGAATATTGAATGGCTTCAAAATTTAAAGTTGTTTGTGAATTTAGTTATTACAGGTAAGAAATACTCAGCTGAAAAGAAAATATAGTCCCCATATTTCTAAGTGAAGTCTAGAACCTAGAGCTGTGAGCAAAGCTCTTTGTGAGGGAGCCACCAACATTTGTGCTATGGCTGCAGCATACAAGATATGTTCACATAATGTTTGGTATTCTCTTTCTTGTTTACAATTACATGGTGTTGTAAGCAAAAAGCCAAACTTGGAAGATACTATTAAATTACCTTCATAATGAATTAAAGCACAACTAAAAAATGAGGTAAAACAAAGTTTCCAGATGTTTAGTCAGAAATTGTGTCTTTGAAATCAAATATAATGAAATTCAGTTACAACACATTAATGTATGACCTTGTAAAATATTTGGAAGATCCACTTTCAATATGTTCTGATTTCTGAGTGACTTATCCCAGATCACTGAGCAAAAGCAAAAAGCTTAGTTAAACTGTGTCTTATCTGTGTCATCTTACTTTAAACCTTATGCTCTTCTACATTTCAGAAAAACTTCTTTAATTCAGATAAGTTTATGTTTACCCATTTTTTTTTTTAACATCAAGAGAGCAACAAGAGAGCAACTTAAGTTTTTAAATAAACTTTCTTTGTTGGCATTGTTTTTGGTTCACAGCAAAATTGAGCTGAGGGTACAGAGATTTCTCATACAGCTTCTGCCCCACACATGTATAACCTCTCTATTGTCAACATGCCTCACTTTTTTAGTATACTTTTTTGCAGTTGAAAAATATACACTGACACATCATTATTCCCCAAAGTCCATAGTATACAGGTTCACTCTTGATGTTATATGTTCTATGAGTTTTGATAAATGTATAATGACATATCTCTATCATCACAGTATCATACAGAGTAGTTTCATTGTTCTGAAAATCCTTTGTGCTCTGCTTTCTTCCTACGACCCCTGGTAACTGCTGACATTTTATTATTTCCATAATTTTGCCTTCTCTAGAATGTCACATAGTTGAAATTATGCAGTATGTGTAGTCTTTCCAGATTGCCTTTTTTTCACTTGGCAGTATGCATTTAAAGTTCCTCCATGTCTTTTCATAGTTTGATAGCTCTTTTCCTTCTATCACTGAATAATATTCCATTGCCTGGAGGTATCATAGTTAGTTTATTCATTCACAGGTAGAAGACCATTTTAGTTGCTTCCAGGTTTTGGCAATTTTGAATAAAGCTGCTATAAAGGGCTGTGTAGGTTTTCTTACGTGAATGAAAGTTTTCAGTTCCTTTGGATAAATACAAAGGAGCATGATTGAATTGCATGGTAAGAGTACATTTAATTTTGTAAGAAACTACCCAACTCTCTTCAAAAGTGGTTGTACCATTTTGCATTCCTACAAGCAGAATGAGAGTTTCATTTGCTCTATTTCCCTTACCAGCATTTGGTGTTGTCAGTGTTCCAGATTTGGGCCATTCTAATAGGTCTATAATAGTGTCTCATTGTTGATTTATTTGCATTTCCTTGATGACAAGTGATGTGGAGCATCTTTTTTTTTTTTTTTCCTGTTTTCCTCTTATTTTTTGTTTTTGTTGGTGCTGGAGATTGAATACTAGGCAAATGCTCTATGACTGAGTCATGTCCCCCATGGAGCATCTTTTCACATGCTTATTTTTCATCTGTATATTTGGTGATGTATCTGTTAAGTTATTTGGCCTATTATTTTTTGAAGGTTTTCATATTTTGAAGGTTTTTTTTAAGGGTGCTTTAATAGTCCTTTATCAGATGTAGCTTTTACAGATATTTTCTCCTGGTCTGTTCCTTGTCCTCTCATTTTTTTATACTGTTTTTTGTTTTTACAGAGCAGAAGTTGGGGTTTCCTCCTCCTTTTTTTTTTTTCTTCTTTTTCAAGTACTGGGGATTGAATCTAGGTGTACTTTACCACTGAGCTACATTCCCAGTTCTTTTTATTTTTATTTTGACACAGGATCTTGAGAGTCTTGCTAAATTGCTGAGGCTGGCTTCAAACCTGTGATCCTCTTGCCTCAACCTCCTGAGTCACTGGAATCAGAGCAGAGGTTTTTTAATGATGTTCAGTTAATTATTTCTTTTGTGATTTTGGTATTTTATCTAAAAAGTCATCACCATACCCATGACATTTAGGTTTTCTCTTCTGTTATCTTCTAGGAATTTTATAGTTTTGCATTTTAAATTTAGGTCTGTGATCCATTTTGAGTTAATCTTTGTGAAGATTGTAAAGTCTGTTTTTAGATTTTGTTCTTTCATATGATGTTTAGTTTTTTCCAGCACTATTTGTTGACAATTCTCTCTTTTCTTCTTTGTGTTGTCTTTGCTCCTTTATCAAAGATCAGTTAACTATATTTATGTAGATCTATTTTTAGACTCTTTTTAAAATTCTACTGATCTATTTATTTATTTTGTTTTCCCCACCAATACCACACTGTTTTGATTACTGTAGGTTTATAGTAAGTCTTGAAGTTGAGGAGTGTCAGTCCTCCGACTTTGGTTTTCAATTTAAGTTGGCTATTCTGGGACTATTGTCTTTCCATGTAAACTTGAGAATCAGTTTGTTGATATCCACAAAAATAACTTGCTGGGATTTGATTAGAATTGCATTGAATCTGTGGCTTAAGTTAGGAAGACCTCTCATCTTGACACTATTGAAACTTCCTGTCATATCATGAACATGGAATGTCTCCATTTATTTTGGTTTTGATTGTTTTTTTTTTTCTTGGTGGTACTTTTCATTTTGAGACAGGGTCTCATTAATATGCCTAGACTGGCCTCAAATTTGCAATCCTCCTGCCTCAGCCTCCTAAGTAACTTGGAATTATAGGCCTGTGTCTCCATGCTCAGACTAATTCTTTAAGATTTTTCCTTGAGGGCTGGGAAGGTGGCTCAAGCGGTAGCGCACTAGCCTGGCATGCGTGCGGCCCGGGTTCGATCCTCACAGCACCACATACAAAGATGTTGTGTCTGCCAATAACTACAAAAAATAAATATTTAAAAATTCTCTCTCTTTAAAAAAAATAAATATCGAAAAAAAAATTAAAAAAAAGATTAGATTTTTCCTTGAATTGAAATCTTGTGCACATTTTGTTAGATTTTATATTTAAACATTTCATATTTGGGGTCTGGTTTTAGTGGCATGTGTTTTTAATTTAAATTCTACTTGTTTATTACTGGTATTATGAAAAGTGATTAATTTGTATGTTTACCTTGTATCCTGTAAGAATAATATCAGGTCTTAAAGAGTTTTCTCACTCTGTTGCACAGACTGGTCTCAAATTCCTGGGCTCAAGTGACCCTCGTGCTCTTTCCCAGGTAGCTAATATTCCAGGCATGTGCCACCACATCTGGCTTTTTTTTTTTAGATATTAGATTTTTTTTTTTAGATATTATCAAGTTGAGTGAGATCCTCTCTATTCCTTTTTTCTTAGAGGAATTCTTTTCTTCTTCTTATCATCATCATCGTCATCATCAGATACTGGGAATTGATCAAGGGATGCTTTACATCCTCAGTTCTTTTTATTTTGAGATGGAGTCTTTCTTTTTTTTTTTTTTTTGAGATGGAGTCTTATTAAGTTGCTGAGGCTGGTTTCAAACTTATGATCCTCCTGTCTCAGCCTCCTGAGTAGCTGGGATTATTGGCATGTACCACCTCACCTGGCAGAGGACCCATTGATTTTTAAGGAAGTATAATCTTAGTTTTTAAAACAAATAGGGGGCTTTGAAACAAGCAAGATTATAAAAGTTATTTTTTTTGTCTTTCTTCTTAGCATATCTAACCATTTTTCTTTTTTTCATATTCTGCAGTTTATTAAGTAGAAATAACCTCACTTGAATTATATCTTCAAAAACTCCTACTTTTAGAAATTGTCTGTGCTTTGTTTTAATTTGCTGACCCAAATTTGTTTTTATACCGACCTAAGTATAAATACTTATATTTAATGTTTGTACCTGACATAATTTGAATAAATTTGTTCTGTGGAGTTCCTTATCTGACTAAATAAGTGAAGCTATAAAAAACTTTATCTCTAGCCACATGTAACTCAGTTATACATATTAATGACACAGAGCAAATGGTGGATGCTTTTAAAAGTAATGACTTTAATTTTCAAAAAAAATATTTTTCAAATGGGCATAGCAAACATCAGTGAATCAGTTCATGCAAAGTGATAGAAATCCATTAAGAAGACCTAATTTTGGCTGGGCACAAATGATACACTCCTGTAATCCCAGGAACTTGGGAGGATCAGAAGTTCAAGGCTAGCCTCCAAAACTTAGTGAGACCCTGTCTCAAAATAAAAAATAAAAATGGCTGGGGATATAGTTTAGTGCTAAAGCACTCCTGAGTTCAGTCCCCAGTACCTAAAAAAAAAAAAAAAAAAAAAAAAAGACTTAAATTTGGAAGCATCAAGAAGGCGACCTGCTTTCTTATTCCTCTTCTCATGTTTTTCCTTTATTCCAGCTAGAAATAGATAGTATCTGTTCTCAAATTGATGCAGAGTTGCCAGAGATGAATTGTATTTTCTTGAGGCTTTCTTATCTTCCTTTCTTAAAAATCAGAGAAGCTAAGTATTTTGGCTTCAAGTACTTTCCTCTCTGATTGAGATTATACAATATGTTCATCACTAACAAAGTGAAGGCAAGAACTGTCTACCCTAAGTACATGAACTGAATATAAATGCATATATATTCCCTGCTTCTGAGTTAGAAAGTGAACCATCCCTTATCTAGCTCTGTGGTTCCATATTTGGGGGCCAAGTCTACCTCTTTTTATTAATGGCTAATCACCATTAGTAAAAAAGACTTTTAACTCTATCTGCATATTATCAACAACTTGTTTAAACTCATTAATTTCTGTCATAGTTAGCTCTTTCATGGAAACCTACTTTACCATTCAAAGGCCTGTAGAGCTTTTCTTACTTCAAACTCCCTGGCACTGCAGAGTCATTTTACTCACTGTATGCTAGGGTTGTGGTCCTTTGTCAAGTTTCTTGCATAGACAAAGTTCCTTTTCTGGTTTTCTACATTGGCAAGATTATTAATCATTTAGAGACATAGGTATCATGTTTCTCCATCATGTTTTTAGTTCTTTGCATCATTTAAATATCTTTGCTTGTCTCATTCTACTTTGTTTTGAAGCCTATGTACTGAAAATGTTTTATCTTTCTTTGAAAAGCATAACCTAATCTTTTTTTTTTTTTTTTGGGTACCAGGGATTGAACTTAGGGCTGGAGCCCTATTTTATATTTTTATTTAGAGACAGGGTCTCACTGAGTTGCTTACTGTCTTGCTTTTTGCTGAGGCTGGCTTTGAACTCGCAATCCTCCTGCCCTCAGCTTCCTGAGCTGCTGGGATTTATAGGCATGTGCCACCACACCTGGCAACATTACCTAATCTTATAATAAAAAAATGGTTCAAATTTAGGAAAAACAAAAAAAGAAGACTCAGAGGAGCAATTAGAATGTTAATGATGTCTCTTGGAACAGTCAGCAAATACCTAAAAGTATTAAGTACTTAAATGTGCTTCCAGTTTCTGCTTGTTTTAGAATCTTTACATTTTTCTTAATGCATTTGTAGGCTTATAGTTATCTTCACTATGTAAATAAAAAGTTATTGATAATACTGGTAGCTACTGTTGTAAAGTAAAAAATCCTTTAACTTTAAGGTAATTTTCTTTAAAATTTTTTTAAGTTGTAGATGAACACAATACCTTTATTTTATGTATTGATTTTTACATGATGCTGAGGATCGAACCCATTGCCTCACACTTGCTAAGCAAGTGCTCCATCACTGAGCCACAACTCCAGCCCCTATAGTAATTTTCTATAAATGTACAGTTACTTATTTTACCTGCAAGAAAAAATTGGAAGCCAATTACATATTGAAGAATTTGTGTACTATTTATTTGGATTATGTAGCACCCTTTTATTATATCAGAAAGTGGTTCTAATCTTTTAAACAAGGGTTATCTTTTTGTAGCTATAGTACTGTACAAACAGTAGGAGCTTGGCTGGGCGCAGTGGTGCATGCCTGTAATCCTAGCGACTTGGGAGGCTAAGGCAGGAGGATCGAGTTCAAAGCCAGCCTCAGCGAAAGTGAGGCGCTAAGCAACACAGTGAGACCCTGTCTCTAAATAAAATACAAAATAGGGCTAGGGATGTGGCTTCAGTGGTCGAGTGCCCCTGTGTTCAATTCCTGCTACCCCCGCCCCTCCCCCAAAAAACCTCTAAAAATCAGTAGGAGCTTGTTATTTGTTGAAATGTCATTATTCATAATAGAAATTGTCCTAGTTTCTTAAGGATGAACAGAGACCATGTTTATTATTCTCACCAAATGATTGGTATAGTGTAGACAATGAATACATGTTTGTTGAATAAATATGAAGAAAAATCAAGTATTATTGTAACCTCATTTTGGTGACTCTATCTTAGTTCTTAACATTTCTCTACATTTCTAACTGGTATCTTTGTCTAATTGCTGCCAGAAGTTAAAGTGCATTTTGCTAATCCATCAGTGCAACCTTTGGCAAGAAAAGTGGAAATGATGCCTGAAACTTCCTCCTTCCCACAAAAAAGCCTGAAGATTCCTGGCTTAGAACATGCAAACATTGAAGGACCAATAGCAGTAAGTAAAAGACTACATAATTTTTTAAAAAAGTATTTTTTAGACATGGATGGACCTTTGTTTTATTCATTTATTTATATATGGTGCTGAGAATCGAACCTCATACATGTGCCTCATACATGCTAGGCAAGAATTCTACCACTTGAGCCACAACTCCAGTCCCACTATATCAGTTTTTAACAACTTTGTGTTAAATGACAAAGTACTAGGAACAATGTAAACAGCCACATATAAGACTTTTCTTGTGATCTTGAATTCAAACTTTTAATTGAATCTAATTAAGTATTGTTGCCACTTGCTATGTGGATGTGAATTTATATAGTTTCTTCTGTTATTTGACCCAGAACTTGTCAGCTCTTGGAACAGAAGAGCTGCGGCAACGAGAGCACTATCTCAAGCAGAAGAGAGACAAGTTGATGTCCATGAGAAAGGATATAAGGACTAAGCAGGTCCAAAATACAGAGCAAAAAGGAAAGCCTGCGGGGGAGGTAGAGGTACGGTTAGCCTTAGTATGCTTAAATTTTATATCTAGAGGTAGAATAATCAAAATCAGATTATGTGCAGAAGAGCCTCTAATGAATTTTGCTTATAGATTCATTCATATTAACCACCCTGCTAGTGCAACAGTGGCTACATCTTTTCTAGGAAGAGTGAGTTGTGATGATTTTGTGAGGTAGAAATAACAGCAGTTTCTTTCTTTTTTTTAACTTGCCTTGCTCTGAGTTCATAAGGGGTCAGTGGTCTGTCTTACCTAAGCCATCTGAAATGTTTGAAATGTCCTGTCAATATCTGAGCCACCACCTCTAAGAGACTTTAAGAGACTTTTACAAAAAGATTTAAGGAAACTACTTTATTGTCCACCCCCGCCCCCCAAAGTCCTTAGTCTTTTGTTTTTTTGAGGCTATATGTTGGGAATTTTAGACAAATACAAATGAACCCATTTTATATTGTAGCCAATTTTTTCTTTTCTTTCTTTTCTCTTTTCTTTTTTTCTTTTTTTTTAAGGAAATGACAGAGAAACCAGAAATGACAGCAGAGGAGAAACAAACACTACTAAAGAGGCGATTGCTTGCAGAGAAACTTAAAGAAGAAGTTATTAATAAGTAATAATTAAAAATTAGCAAAAGTCCAAATTTTCTTAAAAATAAATTATTAATTCTTAAACCAAGACTGTTAGTTTTAAGTAAATACCTGCTTTTCTAAATGCAAATATAAGCTCATCATAGTAAACATTTGAAATGAAGGACAGTGCATAAGGCAGCTACTTGTACTAATTAATTTAATACAAATTTTGGGGTAATGTTTTCTCTTAGAGGGTATAGAAACTAGTTGATAATGCGTTCATTCATTCTGACTTGGACACCTACAAGTAGATTAAAGGGATTTCTGTTTTCCTGGAGTTTGTGAAGAATGCCCAAAGAGCAAAGTGTTAAGAAAGGAAGAGTGCAAGCTGGGTGACACACACCTGTAATACCAGCTACTTGGGAGGCTCAGGCAGGATAATTGTTAGTTTGAGGCCAGCCTAGGCAACTAAGCTAGACCCTGTCTCAAAAATAAAAAGGGTAGGGATGAAGCTCAGTGCCAGAGCACCCCTGGGTTCAATCTCTAGTAGCACCAAATTCCTTTTTAATTTTTTAAACTATTATTTTTAAAAATAATAGTTTAAAAAATTAAAAAGGAATAGTGAAGAGTACCATAAAGCAGGCTGGTTAAACTTCCTTGAGCAAGTAATGTTTAAGCTGATTGGAAGGGTAATTGCATGGAGGGAAGGAATAACTCAGGTCCTGCAGCAGGAAAAAAGCACACACTGAAGAACTGGAATATATATAGAATGAGTGGAGAGGGTTAGCATATGAAATTGGAAATAGGTGGGGGATTATTCATATTATGTAGGGCCTTGAAGGGAATGTGAGGATTTTAATTTTATAATATGGAGCAATGGGAGGTTACATTATCAAAATTATTTTCATTTTTTAAAGATGCATGGTTGTTATATGTAAACTAGTGGTTGGGCTAAAATAGTTATGGGTTTACCTGGTGGGAAGCAATCCAATGAAAATTGAAAATACCTTGGACAGTCTTAAGGCGAACTGAATATTTACCATGTACACTTGAATAATCAGGACAACTAGGACTTGGAAAATAGAGGTGATAAATGTTAATACTCAGCCACACTTTTTTGAAAAGCTACTATGAAACAAAGGGAACTGCCTGAGCTTGTTGAGGGAAGTGCTACCACCTGGTATAGGTTTTTTAAAAAAAGACCCTAGAAAAGTTTTCTGTAGTCTGTTAAAAGAAATACAGATATCTGTATGTTTTTTGGTGGTACTAGGGATCAAACTCAGGAGCACTTTACCAGTGACCCATAATCCCAACCCTTTTTGTATTTGAGACAAGGTTTCATGAAGTTGGTGGGGCTGGCCTTGAACTTGTGATCCTCCTGTCTCAGCCTCCTGAGTTGCTGGGACTGGAGATGTGTACTACTATGCCCAGCTTTGGTATCCCTTTTAAGTTTCCAATTACAGTTGGGTGATATTTAAAAAAAAAAAAAAAGTAGTTTAAACTCCAAACTGCAAAAAAGTATTCTACATTGGTTAACATTTTTTAATTAAAAAATATTTTTTTAGTTGGACACAATATCTTTATTTACTTTTTATGTGGTGCTGAGGGTTGAACCCAGTGCCCCACACGTGTGAGGCAGGCGCTCTACCAATGAGCTACAGCCCCAGCCTTACATTTTTATCACTAGATGGATGAAGAAACCTAGTGCTTAAAACAGAATGATTTCATGTAATTTTTAATTAAAAATAGCTTTTATATTCACTACATTTACAGATATTTTAAGAGGACCTAAGGTATACAAATGTGGGCTCTGGTTTGCTTCAATGAGTGAAAATAAGGATCTGCCTGAGGGCAGTTATTTAAGATGGCAGTGAATGTGGACTCCTATAGTTGAGCTATCAAGGTATGTTTTATTCTCATGTGGATAAAATATGTACCATGAAAACTCATCCTGTATTTCAAGAAAACATTCACATTTCTGCTATAAGGTTTCCATGATGAAGCTGATTTAAAAGTTTCTCAAGTCAGTTTTTTAAAAAGGAAAATTTAAGTATTCATAAGATACAAAGATAACTTCCTACTGGAACTTAAAATTGAGTCAAGAATAAATAGGGAAATATTTTTTAGGTTTGGGCTGCTTTTAGATTATAAGAAGGAATTTAATAAAAACTAAGAAGCTTGATAAAACTTGCTTGAAAGAGTGTTCATATGATCTTGGTTGAAAATAACCTCACTTGTGTTATGAAATTGTAAGGTTTTTATTGTATGTATACCTGTAATCAAAGAAGTAAGAATAGCTTTTTGCAGTGATCTTTGGTGCTGAGATTCTACTTGCCCAAGGCTCACTTTCTATAAGTAATCAGTGACGTTAAAAGTGCAGTTGACCTTTATTGGTTTGGGGCTTTCATTCAGACTGTTGTATGATCTAGTGGCTTATAATAAATTTATGGATGATAATTTTATTGGCTTTTAAAAGATAATTTAAAATGGAGTTAATTTCTATTTACCATAAAACAAACACAAGCATCAATCACGGAATTACAGGGTCACATTTTAATTCCTGAATTTTACAGTTCAGCATTAATATCACCACATGTATACAAATGGTGTAAAACAAGTACAGTGGTATTTTTAATACAAAATAAACATCTGTTTTATGGAAAAACTATACTTCATATCTACACAGACAGCCCATCTTTTCCAAATAATAGCCAAAATTAAAATTAACTACAAAATCTCCAAAACAGGGGAAACTGCTTCAGTTTAAGCTATTCCAGGAAAAAATGGACCCATTAACACATTACAAAGGTGATCTAAAGACTGTAGCTGGAATTACTATTTTTAGATTTTTTTTTTCCAAATGCATTAGATTGTAGTTTGGGGACATTTTTTTCTCATCTCAGCATGATCTCAGATCATAGATGAGCAAACTAACATTAAAATATTTACAGTTAACTGCTGTTCTAAAAATAAAACATTGTAACTGTTTGCCTCAATTTGTTATTTTAAATTCCTTTAAGTACATGGAATGTGCTTTTAGTCTTTTAAAAAAGCAGCTGTTTGTATTACATACACCCTTGTCTGCTTGTGGGAAAGTTTCCTGTACTGCATGTGACTTGACACTTAACTCCTTGGATCAAAATGGCTTCTAGATATTAAATACTACAATTCAGCACTGTTTTGTTTTTTAAATTAGTCTTTATAAATTATGCTTTAATACTTGCCTGCAACTCTGAAGATAAACACTTTTTACTAACAAAGCAAAAAGGGACTTCAGAATTTATCTTCTACAAAGGATTGTACTGGTAGGTTACTGAAAAACATTCTGTTCTGTCCATTTCCAAGACTCTGAAGAGGATCATTATGGAATACTAACTGTTTTCATGGCTATTATTATCTCAAAAGTGCTGATTTAAAAATTTTATTAACAAAACTATCCATTTTGAATGCAGCTTATTTTTGTCAAAATACATACTGAAAATTCTTGGTGTAGAAAATTTAACGTGTGCTGTAATACAGGGTGTATCTCCCTCCAACTACTCAAAAGGTTGAATTTCTGTGAAGTCTTCAAAGAAATGGTCCCAAAAGCTTGACTACTTCTTTTTTTTTTTTGATAGTTCTATTTGTTTTCCATATTTTTTTTTTTTAAAAAAAGAGGCAACTGATTAAAACAATAACATGGCCAGCACCATTATACAAGTAATGTTATTGGGTTTGCAACTGAAGTTTTGTAACGTTTTTCTAGACTGGATACCCCCCAGAGCAACCCTGCATTAATATTATTTTACCAACCTTTTCCCTCCCCCAAACCTGAGACTTTCCTTGCTGAGAAACTATCTCCCAGGTTCTGGTAACTAAGCACCTTTTTTTTTTTTTTTAAATTAAAAAAAAAAATTTTTTTCCCCATTTTTTTACAGCCTGAAAAGGCAAACCCCTTAATTACTAGCAAGCAATCAAGTTCCTGGGAATCCTTTTTTTTTTCTTTTTTCTTTTTTTTACAGAACTAAACTCTCCTAGATGATATACTGAGGATCTTCTGCTACTCCTTGTATATTTATAAGTTCAAGTGAGAAAGCTTTCTGATTCAGATTTTTCCACTCATTGAACAGTTGCAGCATTTTAGTAAGAAGACCACACGTTGGGAGTCCCCCAGTAAATATTTTATGAGCCAAGACGAGGTCTTTTCCTGGGGGATGTTTCTTCTTCTTCATCTTCCTCTTCATCATCTGGATAATCCACTAAGCCAACCAAACTTCCCTATTGAAGAATTAAAAAAATGTTTTAAACAGGTAACTTAAAAAAAAAAAACTTATTGGTATAATTATTAGTACAAATGTTTTCACTAAAAGATATTAGAAACTATTTTTCTAAATCAGACATATCTGATATTAACACATTGGAATTTAAGAAAGGAACTGCCTGAAATCATAAACATTTACTGAGTACTAATTGGTAACATACTCAGTAATCCTCAGCTTTTCTACTATTTCTTATTTTTAATGAAACCTCAGAACTCAATTCAATTCAGCAAAACTTCACTATGGGGAAATGAAGTCTGTAGTCTGTTCATGTGTGTATTTTATTACTTAGTACACATTGTTTTCATTCTGCTTTTGAAGAATAGTTTAAAAGGCTGAAGACATCACTAACCAGTAACATCACCTGGTTACTAAAAGCTAATAACTGAAAATAAGGATGAGGCAATTCAAGGTTTTGACCTTTTATGAACAACGGACTCCTTTTAAGGTCCAATTGAAGCTCTGTACTCTCCAGAAAATTGTAGCAGTACACAGAACTGCAATTACTTTGAACTAACTCCATGAAACTTAACAAATGTTCCACAGGTTAAGAGGGCTAACTGTAAACATTATTTAGTTCAAACCCTTCAGACCTGTGTGGATGAACAAATACAGCTGAAGTATAACCCATCCTTCATACCTAAGAATATAAGCATCTGGTGTTAACATTTTATCAGAACATAAGTAAAACATTACTGTTCATCAAAAAAGGGCTTTGAGCACCTAGAATAGTTATTATGTCTGTGAACTAAATATATTTGTGAGAATCCTACTTCTTCTCAGCAAAGTCATAGGTGGGTCTGAAGTTCCAGTAAGCAAGAGGCAGCATATTAATACATTGATTGTAGTCTTGAGTTCAAATTGCAATGTTTTTACTATATATCTGCAGGAACCTGGGCAAATGATTTAATATCTCTATATTCAGTTTTCTTCATCTGTAAAATTTGCATAGTAGTAGTATTTAGATCTTACTGAACTAGTTGAAAATTAGATTGAAAACACAAGATATAAAAGCACTTTGGCTGAGTACTTGGTATGTAGTGTTCAGTAAGTGCTCTTAGCTACCATTTATCATTATTTCTGTTATTTGGTTTCTAAGTCACAAATTGGGAGAGAAGAAAGAAGAACTGCACTATAAAAAGGCATCAGTGATATCACAAAGATGAACGTGAGTTACCAATACATTTTAATTATGCTTAAGAAGATGTACCATAATGTACAAATATTTCAGTCTCAAATGGTTAACACCTAAATGATATTTTTTGGCTTAAGATTAATAAATTGTCTGAAAAGCCCACCAAAACAATTTAATTTTGAATTTTATTCATATTTCAATGCATATACATACCAAAAACATACATTTAAAAATCATGTTTACAATAAAAATAAGAATACAAAATGTGAAACGTTGGAAGTCAAAAGGCTTATATAATCCAGATGTACCCTATGAAGTTGGATAGATTCCATATTTTTACATCCAGAAATTTATTGTTTTAAAATATCAAGTTGTTAATAAGTACAGGTACCCACAATCATGTTCCATTTAAAAATACAAGGTAGAAAGGTTCTGATGTTAGCACATAAATTCCATTTTATTCTTTTAAAACTTTTGTATTCCATTGTATGGACTCACCCATCAAACATTTTCTGTTGACGTTTGGATTGTTTTCAAGGAGTATTCTCTTAAAAATTTCATTTTTTATAATGACTTTTCTTATTAATGAAGTTGAAATCCATATAATATTCCACATACAAAAATGGTTAAGATGTGAAGTTATTAAGGATTTCTGCACTATAAATTCATCTAGTTTTTTCTTAGCACTAATTTTTAAAAATCATTACATCTGTGTAATTTGAGAACTTACATTGACTATAGCTGTTGGAAGATCGATAAATGCATTTACTTATGCCTTCTAAAACTTCACTGAAGTGAAAGAAATTTACCCTCAAAGAAATGGAAGAGGGAAAAATAGCATAGGAAAGCTAAGGAATATTTGGACAAGAAAAATCAGAGACAAGGTAACTCTTATAATAGAAACCAGAACTAAGTATCTATAATGAGATAAAGAAATGAGAATCAAATTGATTTTTCTTAGAGAACTTCAGAAGACTCACAGTAAAGGTACAAAAACAGTAGGGGAAAAAAGGGAAGACAAGTAAAACAGACAAACAGGTCATTGATTCTGTCCCTCTGATAGCTACGAAATCTGTGTTGGCTTCCATCACCACCATTTATAAAGAAAATAGACTCTATAGAGAAAATAACTCTATAAAGAACTTTGGGACTTCAGGCAAAGTAAAGGGCAAAGGTAAAGTAAAGGCCAGGATGAAAATGAGATAAACTTAATTCTGCAAAACTGAGCAGGCACCCCCCCCCCACTTTCTTTTTCAGGCTCAGAACACCTCAGTGAAGCTTATACTTCCCAGGTGTGGTAGACTAGCTATGCTGTAACAATTAGTTCCTACCCAAGCCATTGGAGCCATCTAAGTGGGTAGTTAAACTAAACTAAACTACCTTCCCCAAAGTACTGCTCTAAGTCCACATCATAAAAATCACCCTTTTAAAGTATACAATTCAGCAATTTTAGTAAATTACAACCATCATTACTAATGCATCATCACTACTAATTCCATCACCCTCCCCTATTCCTAAAAGTCTCAAACTGCATTAACAGTCACTTTCCAGGGTCTGTCCGAGTCTTTTTTCCCATGGATTTGTGGTGTATGGCTTTTGTGATTGGTTTACTTTGCTTGTTTTTGAAGTTTAATCTATATTGTAGCATATATTAGCACATCATTCCTCTTCATATCTGAATAATAACCATTATTTGGATATACCACATTTTATTAAACTAGTGATTAGCATAGCAGATGGACACTTTTTGGCTATTCTGAATAATGCTGCTGTTAACATTCATGTACACGTTTCAGTTTTCTTGAATATATACTGGGATGTGGAATTGCTGGAATCACATGGTTAACTTGTGTGTTTAATATTCTGGGGAACTACCAGACTGTACTCCGAAGCTGCTGCATTTTTACTTCCCATCAGCAATTGGGTCACAATTTCTTTGCAACCTTGCCAACACTGCTTTTGTCCATTTTTTGTTAAAATTACAATCATCCTAATGGGTGTGAAGTGGTACTTTATTGTAGTTTTGTATTTCCTTAGCAGGCTAATAATGCTAAATATTTATGTATTTTATGTATTTTCTTAGGAAAAATGTCTATTCAAATACTTGTTTGAACATTTCAAAACTGGGTTGTTACATTGAGGTATTGGGTACCAATTCCTTATATGATTTGCAATATTTTGTAGGCTGTCTTCACTTTATAGTAGTATCCTCTGAAAAACATTAGTTTTTAATTTTGATGAAATTCAATTTATTTTTTCTTTTTATTTCATATCTAAGATATCCCTGCCTAATCTAAAGTCATGAACATTTACACCTGTATTTTCCCTCAGGGTTTTATGTTTTTAACTCCTATGTTTACTTCTTTATTCATTTTGAGTTGTTTTGTACATGGTGTGAGTTAGGGATCCACTATAACTTTTTTGCATGTGGATATCCAGTTTATAACATCATTTGTTGATCCTTTCTTTTACTGAATTGACAACTTGTTAAATCTTTTTCTTTTTTGTTTCTGAGACAAGGTCTTGCTATGTTGCCCAGATTGGCTTCACACTCCTGGACTCAAGCAAGTCTCCTGCCTCAGCCTCCCAAGTAGCTAGGACTATAGACTTATGCTACGGTATCCGGTTACTTATATGAAGCACCAAAAATGTAAGGAAAATATCAAATACAAAACAAAGGAACCATTAACAAAACAAAAGTTAAAAAAGGAATCAAGACAAATTATGAAGAGACAATGTAATTTTTTTCTGAAACAAACCATCATCTAAGTAAATTATCACTAGAGGAATTGAAGTATGCAAGTATGCTTCAACATCCAGTAATTAGAGAACAACAGTATTTAGTATGTATAATATATAATAACATTAATGATATAAATAACTCAGTATTAATAAATCTGAAATGGAATTCAACAATCATCCTTCACTGAAGGAAATAAAGAAGATATATCTTACTAACACATGATTTGAAATATTTTCAAAAAATCAAAGCGATAGTTTTTATATTTCCCTTTTGATATTAACAACTTTTATCTCACCTAACTGCCTTGATCAATACACCAGAACAACAGCAGTGTTAGTGGCATTTTGTCATGTTCCCGATTAAGTGGGAATACTTCTGGTATTTCCTATGTACAAAACTAGCTTTTAGTAATGGAAGTATATATCAGGTTAAGAAATTATCCATTTATTCCTATTTTACATTTGGAATAATTATCAGAATTATAAACACATTCTATGTAGAAAAATACATGTATGTGAAATGATGACTGTAGGTCATATTGTTGCAGTGCTTCTAACTGCAAAGAGCAGGAAATAACTTTAATGTCCATTAATCGGGTTTAATTATAGATTAAGGTATATTCATCCTTTTGAAGTCTATGCAGGAGTTTTTCTAATATTTTCACATGGAAAGATCAAGTGAAACTTTACATGAAAAAAAAATGAAGGGTTGATTTTTTTTTTCTGTGAATCTGTAGCAAAAGAAGTATCTATTTTAGCATTCACTAATCACATTAAGAAGCTACTAAGTTTTTTCCTCAGAGAATGTGTATATAACAAAGTGCTTTGTGTCTTTATAGCATTCAACTCTTTAAAAAGTATCTTTAAAAAAATTTCATTAGGGGAGCTGGTGCTATAGGTCAGTGGTAAAGCGCTTGCCTTGCATGTGTGAGGCACTGGGTTCATCCTCAGCGCCATGTAAAACTAAAGTTGTCTACAGCTAAAAAAAATATTTTAAAAAAATTTCATTAGGACCTAAAGTCTTGCCCATCTTCAACTGTATCAATTGAAACTGGTGGTGAAATAGCTAAACTAAAGGCCACTGGGATAAAGAACTGACATCTTTAAGGAATGTGGCCACAGTTTTTCAAGAGTATTGTGAACAAATTAAATTAGTGCTTTAGTTCTATGAACTCCTATCTTATTTAATTTCAAAATTTTGTGAAAATCTAGTGTAATGGGGCAATTAACGTGTTTTAAGAACAATCACTGTTTTTATCCCAAAAGACACAGATTATATTTTATAATCTGTTGTTAGTGACAAAGGGTTGGAAAACACATTTGTGCTTGCACTTAATTGAAAAAATTGTATGGAAGGATAAGGAAATATCACCAAAAAAAAAAAAAAGGGACAGGAAAACACAGAAATGATTAGTAGGACAAATCCAGAAGACTCCATCCAAATAATAACTTATAGTGAAACAGCAGAAAATGTTCCAAAATAGAAGGACATACATGACTGTTCCATGGAAGAATGACTGTTAAATTTTCAAATGTAGGGCTAAAATCCTAAATGCTTTCATGAAGAAAATAAAGTCACACAAAAAGGATGAGGAATAAGAATGTCTTTAAAAACTCTGGACAGCCATAGCTTCATTTTTTTTTTAGAAAAATTATTGCCAATCTGGTTTTGCATTCAGTTAAATTGTTAATAAGAAACAGTTTAAAATAGAAGATATACTCCATCAAAATGAGGCAGGAAATCAAGAAAAAAACAGAGACATAGGATTTGGGAAACAAATAATATTACAAGACAGGAGAGAAGCAAAAATAAAGTCTTAGAGTAAAGGCAAAAAAAGGAAGCCTCAAGACAATGGCTGTGTAGCAAGTTTTGAGAGCACAGAATGAAAGATTTCAAGAGAAAAATGCACGAAAATAACCTAAGAAAAGTCCTTCAGAATTAGCAACGGACACATAACTATTTTAACAAAAGAAAAGGCAGTACTGATGTTTACTCTAGAAAAAGTGAAAATTTATAAAGACTAACACTACAGAAGAGTATAAAATAAACAATATTTATGTTGTCTTCATTATCACAAACTTATCAAACACTTTTTAAAAAATTATGATAAAGAGAAATAAAGTGCGGATGCTGTAAGGAGTATTAAAATGTGAAGATAAGAAAGCTAAATATTCATTCCATAATAAGGAATTAACAAATTATGTCTGAACTTGATAAACAACACAGCAGCAATAATATATTACTTACAAAAGTAAAAACAGCTATTAAGAATATAAAGCACCAGCTGCTGTGGTGCACAGCAAGTTGGGAGGCTGAGGCTGGAGGATCACAAGTTCAAAAAGCTAGCTCAGCAACTCAGTGAAGGCTTGCTTCAAAATAAAAAATAACAAAGGGAAGGGAATGTGGCTCAGTGTTTGAAAGCCCCAGGGGTTCAATTCCTAGTACCAAAAAGAAAAAAAAAAAATATATACATATATTTTTTTTTTTTTGCAGAAACATACTACTGATATTTTTAAAAAATATAAATGTGACCAGTATTTGACTTTTGAAAATAAGTACATGTTTTATGTTGATTTAAAAAAGAAAGTGCTAAGCAGTAATCTAAGCATGATACATTTACTAAATAATTTAAATTTCTTAACAAGCCATACAAAATCAGATAACTAAGGCCTGGAGAAATAAATAACTTATTCAAGGTCAAATAGCTAGAAAGAAGCAGAGCCAAGATTTGAACCACACAGTAAAATTCCATGGCAGATATTCTTAATGTCTTGATATACTAATATCAATATATTGGATATACTTACTGAAGAGTGAAAATTAATTTTAAAAATTTCTAGTTAAAAAAACCAAAATGTTTCAAACAGAATCTCATTGAAAATGCTACTTATGTATGTTATATTTAATCAAAAGCCTACCTCAATACAATACTGAATGATTCATTAAATTATGTGCATGTACAAACATGGCATAATAAATTATGTGTAACTACAATGTACCAATTAAAAAAAAGTTATTCTACATTTCTGCTAAATAGTAAACTCAAAGTATATTTCCTGTTCAAAACAAGATGTACTCCTTCAGTTAAGTTTTGTACTACTATAACATTTCTATCTATCTATCTATCTATCTATCTATCTATCTATCTATCTATCTATCTATCTATCTATGTATCTATCTATCTATCTATCTATATATATATACACACACTAACTCATGTCCTATATTCTAATGCATTTTAATTTTTAAGTTACTCTTTTTGTGAAAGAATGGTTTCACGCATTGAAAAAAATCTAAATAAACAATAGAATAAAAGTTTGATATAAAATTTAAATGTTTATAAAAAGAAAAATAAGCAATGGGAAGTACATTTGCTGTGAGAATTACAGATATATTCTTAACCAAAGATTCATTTACATTAAGAAAAATATAAACCAATTTTTAAACGGCACTATGAACAGACAACACACAAAGGGGAGAATTCAACCTTACTACTATAATAAGTGACACATAATTGGAAAAGAGATATTACATACTCTACCTAACTGGAAAAGATTAAGAATAATTATAACAACACTGACAAAGCTGCAGTGATTCAGGCACACCCATATACTGCTGATGGGAAAATAAACTGATACAGACCTTTGGAGATGAATTTGACAATATGTGTGAAAACATTCTAGTACTTTATCCAATAAAATAATGTAAAATACAACAACTAGTAGTCAAATCAGTGAAATATCAGAATCAACTTAGTACTAAAAAAAACAATTAGGTATGGGGAGGGATGGGGAAGGATGCTTACATATATTATGATATAGCTAAATAAAATGAGATTCTACAGTCAATAACATTTTAATAACACAACATTCTTATAATAAACAGAAGCAGACACACAATGTGTTTATAGGAGTATTTCAATTTTGTGTCAGATAAACTCAGATCTGAAGAAAAGTAAATAAATATTAACTATCATGTTCTGATGGTTTAACTTCTTTCCTCTTTGAAACTGCTCTGATTTTACAAATTTTCTTCAATAAACATGAAACAATTTTACAGATGGAAAAGGCAAAGTTTGTTTTTGTGTAGTGCTAATTCACATACCTTGGTGGCTGTTACTGATGTAGTCAAGTTTGTAGTTTTGGAAGAAGACCCATTAGAACTTGCTGGTGGTGTCTGAGCCACAACAGATTTACTGTTTGTACTGTTTGTTCCATTAGCAGCACTCGAAGAGTGGGAGAAAGTAAATTTGAAGCCACCAGAAGATGTCCTTTTGGGAAGGTTTTCCTTATCTTCACTTTCTTTTGCTAAAAGCAAAAGTAAAAATTTGAGCCTATATCAATAAATAATGCTAAATCAAATCATTTGAAAATAACAATTAAAACATCAAAATAAAACACCGCCTTTGCTTTCTAAAAGGATAGCATGTGTATGGTGATATCTGTATAACCTGGAGTCCCAGAAATCTAATTTTGTGAGCATCAGAGCATTAAGAATCATGTAAGAGGGCTGGGGATGTGGCTCAAGCGGTAGCGCGTTCGCCTGTCATGTGCGGGGAGCTGGGTTCGATCCTCCGCACCACAATCATACGAGAATCAGTCATTCTATGCTAGAGTTCTACAATGTTGTACTGTTTTCTTGAAAAGATTCATGTGCTGTCTACTGTCTTCCTCTTCCTTTTATTGTCTTCTGTTCACTGACTCTATACTTCTTTATTCCTTGTTAAAACCTAATAACCTCCCCACAATTAATACTTAAAACATCTAAGATCAAGTCTATCAGTGTCTCATTCCCTGAATATTCCAGTTTCCTTATATTTCTTTTATGGTATAAGCATCCAGCCCCTTTAATATCCAGTTACTTCTATTTCTGTATGTTATTCTTAACAGCATGGCACTCAACACTGGCCGCAATACTTAAAAGTATGGCCTTACTGCTTCTTTCAACAGTAGTAAGAGTGGTACCTATAAGGATTAAGAAGAATCTATCAAAAGATACATATTCCTTATAAGTCCAGGAAATGCTTTGTCTTTTAACATATAAATTTTTATTAAGCATTTAAATGATTTTTGCAAGATAGTATTCCAAAAACGCCAACTCCTCAGGACATAAAATTAAAGTGATTAGTTATTCTGAAAGATAAGTAATAAGATCTTAGTTTTATAAAACAAGTTAGACATATCTGAATGCCGAGGGAAATTTAACTTTTTTTCTTAGTTATTTTCTTTAGGCAAGTTTTATAAAAGCTTTAAAATTTAGAACAAAGTTATTTCTTTGAGCTCAGTTTTCTAAGCTTTAAAAAGAAAAGGTAAAGTACTACAGAATATTTCTTTGAATCTATATATTTTTTATTATTCAATAATAACAGAAATCCTCAAATAATCTAGTAATAAAAATCCCTAGCAGAATTTTAGTGTAGAATAAAGCACAGATTCCATAGAAGGAAAAGTGTTAGTAGATGATAAAATTTCTAAATAAAAACCAAACATGAAAAAAAAAAATTAAACATGAAAAGAATGCCCATACAGATAAATTTCTGTACTAAACAAAAGGAGGCACAATTTTTTTAAATTTCAGAATGTTAATACCTTTTTTAGTGTCCATAAATTTTTCATAACTATCTGGAAAATCATCATCTGGCTTAGATTTTTCAACTGGTGCCACAACTGCTTTTCCTTCGTCCTCTTCATCTTCATTAAACCACATTTCTTCATCCTCTTCCAAGGCTTTTGCATCTCTGCGAAATCTGTTACTACGCAATATAGATGGTACACTGTAAGAAATATATCACAAATATTGAGTAATAATTTAAAATTCATGACTACATTAGTTCCAAGAGAAACTAAGGTAATTTTAACTGTGTGAAAATTATATCAAAATCAACTCAGTCATGGTACAAAATATAGTCCAATTCTCCAAAATATTTTCAGATATTATAAACTCAACTAAAAATTCATCTTGAGTTATCATACAGGGTAGCAAGTCATCATATAATGGATTTGGGGTTACTAGATTATTTGTGCTATCTAGTGACAGAAAATTCCTTGGTAAATTTCAAATAAAAAAATCTAAACTATGGAAATGTTTGGATTCAATTCTGTAAGCTATAAGTACAATATACTCCAGCAATACCTGTTCAGTTTCTGATTTTGTCTGTCTTTTTCTTGTTCATATTTAGTCTTCAATCCTTTGAATGTCTGAACATATTCAATCGATTCAAGTGCTTTATAAAAGTTTTCAACTATATGTGCAGTCAGAGACTTGATATCTTCCTGTATAAGCACAAAATTTACATTTCAAATACAATACAATGTTTGTTAGAAGAAAAATTTTTAAAAAATGTAGTTCCAAAGCTGATTTAAAAAACGTTTTTCAAAATCACTTTCCAAAAATAAATGTCCTAGTTTCTTTATACATGAACCAGGACTCCACAAAAAACTTGGAAAAAGGAGAAGCAATTCACTGGAGCCCTTTTTGGAGATATAAAAAGTAAATGGATTTAGTTTACATCTTTGATTTTTTGCATTTTGTAGCACTTCACAGTTTAAAAAGCACTTTCACATACAATTTCACTTGATTCTCATGATTCTATTTCGTTTTATTATACTGTTTTCTAAAAACACAAAATGAGACAGAGAGGCTGGGTGTTCTGATTAAGAGCACATGGCTTATTACTAAAGGGTAGATGTTAAAATCATATTTTAACATCAATTTAGTGACTTCTGTTTACCAAAATAGCATGTTGTATCTAAATAATTAAGTAGATTTCCTTTGACAATAGTACACACATAGTTCCAATGAAATACATATCTGGAATTCTACTTGTTTATTCCTGGTATATACTATTTTATATGGACCAAAAGGATAATTTTGGGAATTCAATATATTTATTACTCAAATTTACTTTCAGAAAAATGTAAATTCAATTATGATAGCAGGGATGGGATTGTGAACCAAAGTATCATTTTGTCAGTACTAGGAAAAAATACATGTTAATAAAAAAGTACACAAATATATAAAAAGCTCTGATTCCTTAAAAAATATGCTATGAACCTGGGTTCAGATACTAGTGAGCCAGTTAACTGCATTCCTTCTTTACTAATATTCTCAGAAAAACAATCTAGTTAGCCAAATAATCTTCATGAGAATAACATGTAATCAGTGGAAATCACATTTATTAAGAAACAACTAGAGAGTAAATTTCTTGCTTTCATTTTTAAAAAATTGTTCTTTCCAACAATGTAGTCATTTCCTTGATGGAATAATTTCTGTGTGTACATGTGCAGTAGAGGTAAATTTGTTGTACTGATTAATTTGTTGTACTATCTTATTCCTATAGTTCAAATATAGCTCTCTCAAGATCTTTTTATGACACATCTTTTGTTGCCTGAAACTGAGACGAGACATAGTTTCAAATACTGATTGTGCTACTAATCAAATGAAAGCTCTTGATCACTTTAGTTATCTTAATTTCCTCATCTGCAAAGTAAGGTAACTGAAGGAGTACATCTAATCCTTGTCTTTCTGGTCTTTCCAACTTAAAAATTATAAGATCTCATCATATCTTTATGTATTTTGCATGAAATGTCTACCAAATTATTTCACAGTCTATCCATTTTTTTTTATTACTACCCTGTAATAGAAAACTACCTTAAATCACATGAATGGTATGCACGATTGAAATGCTCATATATGCCAAATGTGATCCTCAAACATTTGGCCAGTAAAAATGGAACTGACAAAATTAAGTAATTGAGGGGCTATATATAGCTCAGATGGTAGAATGCTTGCTGTGCATGCAGAAGGCCCTAGGTTCAATCCCCAGGACCACAGAAACAAAACAGTTTACACTGAATTTCACTTTTAGGACCTGGATTTGATCCCGAGCAACACACACACACACACACACCAAAACCAAAACAAAACACACTAAACTACAACCACATGGCAAATAAGAATATAATAGTATCTGATTTTTAAAAAAACTTTAGTTTATTAGAAATAGGTTCTAAGACACTTAGAATCACAATTTTAGGAGAAAAGGGGGAATGAAGAAATCACTTGTTTACATATTATTATTTTACTTTTACATATAATTACTTCTTCACAAATAGTTAATTCTTTAGAGTCCTTTAATATAAACTTACCACTCTTATAAATTCAAACAACTCAATAACAGCTGAATTCAACAGATTGTACCGAGTTCCATTATCCAGAAGAGCATTTATAACTGGCTCAAAAAGATTTCCCTTGGTGATGTAACGATTGTAAAATTCATCTTTAAGGCCAATTATCCGTCTCATAAAGCGAAGAGCACCTAATTAAACATAAACAAGGGAATAAGCTGGTGATTTTACTATAATTTATTATTTTAGAAGTATTTTTGCCATAAAGTAGTATATATATTCTTCTATAACAAAAAGTAAAATTGTGCACTAAAACAATTGGGTTTTGAGAAAAATAAAGAGTTCAGGGAAGACAGGTAAAAACTGGTACAACTTTATATCCAGAGTTAACAATATCACAGGAAAAAGTATCTGGGAGATAAATAATCCACTTAGGTGGTCAGCTCCATGGCAAAGAGAAGGAAAAAAATATTAAAAACCTATAAATGACGATGATGATAACACTTAGCAGTGCTTGGTAGACACAGTAAAGATAGTTCAGTATGAATTGGGGCTGAGGTCGGGAGAGGAATGGTATATAGTCTGCCAAGAGTCAAGATAGCCTTTCTGGGAGAAGGAAATCTGAAGGCAGATGTTTCCAGATTTTCTGAAAATACACCAAAGGACAATAGAGGATATCTAAAAACAATCTTTTTGTTTCATTTTTTAACTTTTCCAATGAAGGTTATAATTCCTCTCCCATGATTCTAGCTCTTCCTGTCTTGAAAAAAATCATCTGTGAATTACCGCTACTTTCACATTATAATAACATTCCCTTATTTACCAACTGTATGAGCTATTTTTCCTTGGGAAAGCATGTAGTGTGGTAGATAAAAATATATTTATAAAAGAAAAAATAGCAATGAGCTTCTCATATTTTAAAATATTAAAAAAGAAATTTCTCTTTTAACGAGCTTTTCCTAGCTAAATAAATTTAGCAATATCATTACTAAAATTTTTAGGGAACACAAAGGATTGTGTTTTTAATCTTTTTTGTATCTGATATTGTAACCTTTCCCTCTTAATTTATTCTACAGATAATATCAATTGTCTGTTCAAGAACAGAAGTTGGTTAAATGATCCAGTTGTGCCTGTTCTAAGAAGCTCAAATATCTGAGAATAAAATAGAAACAGGTTACATAAGGTGTAAGTGTATGTTAACTGGAACACCACCGAACAAATGTGGGGAGAAGTGCTAGACTTACAATATCACCTCTTTTTGTGGCAGGATAAAAAATATTTCATTTAGGATTGAAAAAACAAAACAAAACAAAAAACCCAAAACCGAATAACTGGCAAAGGTGTGACCAATCAGGCATCCATAAACTACTGTGAATGAAATGACATGCATGCACAGCTACAGTTACAATGTAACTTTAATGAAAATTCTAAAGCAACATGAATTATGTATTATGAATACATTAATGCTTCTAAAATTAAAATTCAAATAGAGTAATTCTAATCATGATGAACTGAAGAAAACAATTTTTTTAAATATTTATTTTTTAGATGTAGTTGGAAACAATACCTTTATTTTATTTATTTTTATGTGGGGCTGAGGATTGAACCCAGGGCCTCACACGTGCAAGGCGAGTGCTCTACCGCTGAGTCACATCCCCAGCCCCTAAAGAAAACAATTTTTAAGATACTGCGCAAGGAAAAAATTCTTAAGAGTAACAAAGAAAATTATGAAAAAGAAAAAAAGAGGGTACTCAGTAGGTTCTTATAATAGAAATATTTTAACCTCCCAGTACTGGGAACCTGGGTAGTTTACCACTGAACTAAATCCCTAGTCCTTTTACAGGCGAGTGCCACTGTGCCCAGCTCTACAGACATATTATAATGGCACAATAAACATCGCTATTATTTCAACTGATGAGATTAAAGAATAGACAGTCCATAATTAAGACATAAATGTATCTGTTTAACTTACTGTTTAATAAAGGTGGTATTTTAATTTTGTGGGGAAAATGTGGTTTATTTAATAAAGGTGTTGGTATGGTTGTCTTATCCATCTAGAAAAGAACAAATCTAGACCATCACTTCAAACCATATCCCAAACCATCTTTCAGATGCATTATACACCACACACACACACACACACACACACACACACACACACACACAC